GCGATACACGTATCGATACGTTTGACCATTCGCGATACACGTATCGATACGTTTGACCATTCACGATACACGTATCGATACGTTTGACCATTCGCGATACACGTATCTATACTCTACTGAATAAAATCAATGTCATTTGGTAGCATAGTTTCACCCGAAAATAAAAGAAACATATAATAACACAATTTGCAATTACATAGCAGTCGTTTACGGAGAAATTCACGATACTGATTTGTAAGCGTTCACATGATTGGTAGAGTTCCAGTTGAGTGTATAGTTTGCGAGGTAGCTTCCTTTGAAAGTATTGCGAAACATATCGTATCACGACGGTTGTATCATGGTATGCGTATCACATCCTGAAGGCTGCATCGTGGCACGCGGATCATATGGGGAGCTACCCAAATCCAGCTACTGCTAAGTAATGCTGAAAGGGTCGTTATCGTATCAGGCACTACATATATGTACCCGATTTACATATATGTATACACAAAGTGTACCAGACTTGTACTACAGAAGTGTACCCTAACCCTAACCCTAACCCTAAACACAGGGTACATATATATATGCTGAGGCTATTATAAATAAGGCTATATATAACTCGGGTACATATATGTAGTATCTGATACGACAACGACCCTTTCAGCCTAAGTAATAGTGGGTTGATAATGCATGCATACTCTTCTACAGCTATCACAATAACTATTGTGAAGGAAAACCTTGTGTTAACACTTCACAGCGTTGACAGTATAGAGGTCAGATGTTCATGGCACATTTAGACGGGCTTTCAAAGTCAGGGTATGTTGCCGGAAATACAGAACGATTCCCTAAGATAACCACGTCCTCCTGTATACACACACGCACGCACGCACGCACGCACGCACGCACATATAACGATATGTGTAGCGATGCCAGCATGGCACCGTGTTTGAATCTATCTTCTCTCCTTTTCCTGGAGATGACGACGGTTTACACGTTATGTTGTAGGCAGAGTATTTTACATGCAAATTCAGCATGCAGCCTGAATGCAAAGCCGCAATGCTGCACATGTGTGATTGCTTCTAAATCTGTGTAGGAAACGAAAATATAAATGTTTTATTCACTGAATATATTGTCATGTATAATCGGTTTTATAGATCTTTTTATCCAATATCTAAAATATAGGCCTTTATTTATTGAATATATTATCATGTGTGATCGAATCTAGATCTTTCTATCTAATATCTGAAATATAGGCCTTTTTCCACTGAATATATTGTCATTTGGAATATTAAACTGCAAGACGCACACATTGGACAAGCTCTACTTGTGTGCCCGTTTGCTCTGCCTGTAGCGAGAGAACTGGAACCATGGTCCTGTTGTCAGAAACAAAATTAGTCTTAAGATTAACTTTTTCTCGTAGATCGAACCTCTAAACACTGCGTATTGAGAATACGTAACCTCTACTATGTTTCTGGAAACAGTCTATGAGAGAAAGTCAATGATAAGACTAGTGTTAAGACTGATTTTGTTTCTGATAACGTGTCCCTGACAACGAAATCCCCCCCCTCCCTCAATACGAAATCAGACAAATTCTGCACAGAGGTCTTTAGCACGGACCACCTACCAAGATTTCCCTTCTCACTTACTGCTGCCGACAGACAAGTGGTTAACGCTACCCCACACATGCTGGGCCGGCCGTGAGGAGTGGATGTAGAAGCAAGTACAACATAGTTCATCATTATACAGTGCTCCATTGGCAACCAACCACGGCACGCCCGTCAAGGACTCATACATACGTGTACATAGACATGGTTCATACAGGAAGACTGAAAAAAATTTCAAGGACTTTTCAAGGACATTTTATCAGAAATTCAAGGAGATTTTATCGGACATTTCATCGGAATTCATACACAGAACAAAACATACCTGGATTAATTTAATAACCCCATTCTTAATCACTTTCACCTCTAAAACTTACCTGGATCACATTAATAAACCCTTCTAAACACTGTCACTTCTAGAACATACCTTGATTTACTGACTGATTTTACTGACTTACTGGAATTTGTGATCATCATTTAACTGTCTATCGTGCCTACAGCTTTTTAAGCTCATTTAACACAATTTTTATTGAGGTTTGCACATTATTGATGGTATAAAAATTTCTTTTTATTACAGGCAAGAATTCTTTCTAAAAATTCAAGGACATTTTCATGAAATTCAAAGACTTTTCAAGCACAAAATCAACATTTACTAAATTCAAGTACTTTTCAAGGACTGTGCGAACCATGATACAGAATAAGAAGCAATGCTACCGTACGTATTATCATCACGAGTGTCATAATTATAGACATGACACTCCTGCTATTAGTAGTTACCTCAAGTTGTAATTTGTTTTGTCATCATTAACCTTTACAGAGTGGCTATATGCCCGGCAGCCGGCATATATCTGACGGCTGCCGGGCACGGTCTTCGATTTCCTAAATGCCCGGCAGTTTAAAATTTTCAGCGTTATCTCAAGTAAACAAGGGTTAGGGTTAGGGTTAGGAACTGCCGTGCATTTAGGAAATCGAAGACCGTGCCCGGCTGCCGGGCATATAGCCACAGCGTAACTTTTACAGTAACTCGCCATTAACTACAGCTACATAACTACATCTCGTGTGATCTGGTCTGTGTCCTTGGTCTGTGTAAGTGAGGCGGTACGTGTTCTGAGTGGTTTTATTACACGCTTGAACACCTGCCCGCTAGAGCAGTAACGATTAACCGCGGTACATGTTTACCGTGATATTTTTTCTCGGTACAGTACTCGTTACCGGAATTTTTAGTTCGGTTCGGTTGGGTATTTAGTTTGACGTCACCACTTCCTGTTTAGTTTCCGGCAATATGGCGGCCGAGATGCGTACCGCTCGTTTTTGCCGATGTGCCTGTTAAATTGAAAAATCCACCAGCTAATTTCCGTTCCGCTGTTTGGCAGTATTTCGGATTTCGGGGAGACAACAGAGATAA